AAATAATAAAGTCTATGATGGATTAAATGAACAAACCACTGCTATGGTACCAGTGCATTTCCTGTGCATTTTGTCCCATTCTAGGACATCAGTGCCTTCCAAATGGTTGCTCTTTCCATTCTGAGAGACATGTCGGCTCATACCTGATTGGTAAGGCTATAGAACCTGAGACACTAGCATCTCAGGTAATGAGCCTTTACCTCCTCTGAAGCATTCTAGAAATCCAAGGATCTAGGAATTATAGGGATTTAAGCAATTAAAATTTTACATTTGCTGTAATGTAACAATAGAACAATGGCTGAGAAGCACTGAAATTTGGTTCCCATAAATAAAAGGTGATCTATTCTCATATAATGCAAAAACCCATTATCAAAGGCCACAGCAAGAGCAGCACTGCATCTGTCAGATGAATCTTGGATAGGGTAAGCAAGAGGCCGTTAGTCACCCATGGCTTCACATAGGCCCTAGAGGGAAGTCTAGCCATGTGTATTCCATCTTCTTTTCCCCCAGTAACAGCACATCCTAGTAATAACATCCTGGTGAATTGCTTTGAGTAACTCCCTTCCCTAAGATACTGTGGCTACAATCCCACCCTTCCCTCATTTGGCTAAGGTTAGAGTTTCACTGGGTGGGTTAAGTTGTCTTACATTGTCTTAAATATAGAAGCAGCATTAAAACAGATAAATTTCCTTGATAGAGATTATTTTTGTCCTAGTACAATCAAACAATAAGAATCCTAATGAAACTTCTTAAACACCCAAAGGACCACAGTTAAACAAATGTACCATGTAATATAATATTTTATCACGGTTCTAAATTATGGATAATCCTTTTTCAATATTTTAATTATCATGGGAGTATTATTTATAAACATCTTATATAATACAATAAGAAAGATATATAGTAAGACTAGATAAACAAATAATATATAATAAAGAGAATATTCACAAAATGAATTCCTGTAAACTGGAATTTTAAGCCTATTCTGGGTTTTTGGTGGATAAGTCACCTCCAAAGCTAACATATTGAGAACCCCTGAACACCCAGTGTTTTGGATCAGTGTTATAGAAGGTTCTTAACTCTTGATTCATGCCTGGACTCTCACTGCCTTGGCCTCACACTTACCAGTTTTAAAGCAAACCTGCTTTATGCATCCCTGTAGAGAGGAAAATTCAATGGGCTGCTTCTGCCCCCTGCTGGTGTCCAGATGGGACCATTAGAAGGAATACTTAATCAGAGAATGAGACCACTTAAAAATTTATTATCCAGGGGCGCCTGGGTGGCTTAGTCGGTTAAGCGGTTAAGCGTCCGACTTTCGCTTAGGTCATGATCTTGCTGTTCGTGGGTTCGAGCCCCGCGTCGGGCTCTGTGCTGACTGCCAGCTCGGAGCCTGGAGCCTGTTTCAGTCTGTGACCCCCTCTCTCTCTGACCCTCCCCTGCTCATGCTGTCTCTCTCTCTCCTAGAAATAAATAAAACATTAAAAAAAAATTTATTGTCCAAAGCAAGTTGTGTATGGGTCTCATTAAATAATCTGAAACTCGGACTATCCTAGCAAACAGATGGTTTTTATTCAATATACTGATAAGGCTCTGACTTTCAGATCCAACAATCTTCCTTTATGCCTTTAGGGTAAATAAGGACTATTGGTCATTACCCTACCTAATCTGAAAAAAAAAAAAAAAAAAGAAAAAGGCAGCAAGTAATCAAATAGAGGATCATTTCCAAAAAACAGGAAAAAAAAAAAAAAAGACAGAGATACCTGAACATGTAGGTAAGTTTGAATTGGAGGGTATAAGAAAAGACTCTTCTGAATGGTCTGTTCAATTTCATCACAGATATGCTTTCTAAATCAACATTCCAGACAAAGCGTACAGAGCCAGCCCCATAATCCTTTCACTGCCCTCAACTCAACTTGTCCTCACTAATTATTTATTTTATGCCCGGTATTGTTCTGGTTACCAGAAATTTAGAAAGAAATATTATGCACACTGACTTTGAGGGACCATAACATAGCATGATGTTTGGAGAAATGATATTATTTTACCCCTTGTTGATACAGATGGAGCATACTGTGCATCTGACATATCTAACCACTTTCTTCTTGAAATATTCATTTCTTCATCTCATCATCCTTATCTTCTCCCAATTTCTGCCCTATCTCAAAATAGAATTTAAAAAAAATTCTCCAACATGAGGCAGCAGCATTAACCTTTGTGGCTAATCTGAAGAAGCCTCAGTGAGAGTATGGCTTTTAATACATGCCTATACTCAGGATGTTTGAATATTTTGTCACCAATCCCAGGGCCAAGTTTCCATGTCTGGGTCACGTTGTGAATGATAGGAATCATATTTGGGTTCTGAGCGTCCTGTCCAAGGCCAGCCGGAATGCCTGGGGCAGCATCTGTTTTACATATCATATAAAACTTATATAGGATGACACACATTTGGTAGCATGTGGTCAGCAAGGGAAAGATGTGTACTTTATGATATGAGTGTTTATATTTCACAGTATTTTTTACAATGCATTTGCATTTAACTTGTTTTTCTTTTTTTTTTTTTGATATTGCTGTTTGTTTATTTTGAGAGAAGGAGTGCAAGCAGGGGAGGGACAGAGAGAGAGAGGGAGAGAGAGAGAATCCCAAGCAGGCCATGAAACTTGAACCCATAAATTGTGAGATCATGACCTGAGCCAAATTCAAGAATTGGATGCATATCTGACTGAGCCAGCCAGGCACCCCTAACTTGTTTTTATACCTGTATAATTGGGCAGCTTTTAATTCATAGATCAAATCAAATAATTCAATAATTATTTACTGAATGCCCACTCTGTGCTAAACCTCATTTTGCATTTCAGTGAGCATAAACCAGACATGGCTCCTGGTCTTCTCAAACTTCCCAGTAGATCTAATGGAAGATCCGCATACAATAAGTGGTATAAACACAAAGCAGAGCATTGTGCTGAGAGTAACTTATTTGAGAGAATGGGGAACTGGTGGTGGGGTTACAAGAGTCCCTCTGAGGAAGGCACAATGAACTTCACCAAAGAAGAAACAGTGACTATTGGCTATGTCACCTGGAGTGGAAGAATCCAGAATGATGAAAAGAGGTTTTGTGCAAATACATGAAATAGATCATTCTAAGCAGAGAGATTATCAAGAACAAAGCCCCTGAGGCAGGAATATTCTTAATTTGTTCTGAGGAATTAAAAATTCCTGGAGATCAGGGAGGGAAAACAACAGTGGTCTATGATGTAGATGGAGAGGTGTGTGGGTCAGATCATTTAAAGTTTTCTGACCATGAGAAATAAATTCTCTTTTATCTTAAGAGCAATGAAAATCCATCAGTGACATTTGTTTTGTTTAACAAAGGCTCATGTGATCTAGTAGATGTTTGTAGAAAAGCAGGCTGGTTTCTCCAAGGAGAATACATCTTTAGGAGACAAGTGCAAAAACAATAAATCTAGCTAGAAAATTAGCCAAGTATAATAGCCATGGAACAGTTGATGATATTATTTACCAGTACAGTGACAGTGTATAGTGTATAGGTGAGAAGTGGACAGATGCAGGGTGGAAACTATAGAAATAGATGAAGGATTTGATATCCAGGAGAAGAAAGGAAAGGGAAGAATTGAGAAAGATTCTTGAGAGTTTTCTTAAGCAATATTGGGATTGGTGAAGTCATTTTATAATATTAGGAGGAAATGGGGAAAAATGAATTCCTGAGGCAAACCAAATATTTTTTGTTATAATTTGAATTTTAAGATTAAACATCCAGATGGAGATATCAAAGTAGGCAGCTGTATCCATGAATATGAGCTCACAGGAGAGGTGAGGACTTTGAGGTGCAAATTTCAGGCTACAATAGTGAATAAATATTAACACTGTGCCCCATCTCAGAGAATTTAGCAGAGACCTTAGTCAATTATGTAGGCTAATGAATATCAAATTATGAATTCAGTAAGTTATATAAAAGTAAATATGGTTACCAAAACAATAGATTTGTGGGGGAAATCTGTATTAGTTAAGGGGCTTCCTGAGAAGTAGTGGTTAAGTTGCAGAGGGAAGGGACAGGCTGGTTTTAAAAGTGGTGGGAGAGGTTTGGGAGAAGATGGGAAAGACCATGTCTGTGAAAAGAACATCCCAGGTAGAATGAACATCTGGAAAAAAAATCTCATTAAAGAAGAGAAATGGTGTTTTGAGAAATAAAAGAAGGTAAAGTGCTTGAGGCTGAGGCTGACAGATTTGTCTTCAAGGGGTGAATGCTCCAATCATTCAAGGAAGGAGACAACTAAAAACAGCAGGCAAAGGGGGTGCCTGGGTGGCTCAGTCAGTTAAGCATCCGACTTCGGCTCAGGTCAGATCTCACAGTTCGTGGGTTTGAGCTCTGCATCAACGCTCTGTGCTGACAGCTCAGAGCCTGGAGCCTGTTTCGGATTCTGTGTCTCCCTCTCTCTCTGCCCCTCCCCCACTCATGCTCTGTCTCTCTCTGTCTCAAAAAAGTAAATAAACTTAAAAAAAAAACAGCAGGCAAAGTTATCTAATGCAGAGTGGGGTTCAGGGCAAGAAATAATAATGAACATGATACTAGAAAAGGTCTCACATGGAAACGGTGAATTCATAAGAAGGTTAGCCTGAGGAGCTGCCTAGTGGGCTAGTATGACAAAGATGAGGAATATGTCACAAGACGAAACCAGAATCTGAAGCTAATTTAACACGTTGGGACAATGAAATCAAACACAAAAGCCGGTATAAACTTTTAAACACCTGCCTACATTATAAGAGCCTTAAACCTTTTATGATGACTCCTAAGGGCAAAACTCAATGTGACGAAGAAGCAAGAAATCCTGCCACAATGAGGCTTTTTAAAATTCTGGACTTAACTGTTCAACATTTGCTTTCTTTCTAATCTTTAGAATGGTAGGTTCTAAGGAAGAGAAAAAAACTGCACATCCCTTCAATAAATGCATATTCAATGAATACTTAACTTACTGATGCAATAAATGGATAAGAGGGTGGAGAACACTGGGTTTATGTCTGAGGCTGAGTCTTCAACATATGTCTCCATATCACAAGAGCACAGGTAAGTTGAATATCTCAGGAGGTCAGAATTCTTGTGGGAAATCATTTGCCAAAGGCCTCTTACATCAATACTACTCTCTGTTTATCACCACAGGGGAAAAAAACCTTACTCGTTGGCTGTGTTATCTGAAGTGGAATAAAACAGGAGCATCTTTCCCTAAGTACTATTTGGAGGAAAAATACACTTGGAGACAACAGAAAATGGGAACCTATGGCTACACAGTGACTAATTTAAACAGATTTTAGACACTTAAAAGCCAAATCTTACTCTTTATATTCAATGCTTAATGAATCATAACAAAGAAACTAATAATTACTTTAAGAACGTTGGCGCTCAATTTTATAGGTATACCATTGACCAGAAGCCCTGGGAAAATATCCCAAGTAACGTATGCTTTCTGAAAATTAGCTTCCTACTCTAGTCTATTCGCTTTCACTTGTGGCTTCTAAGGACATCTGTGCACCTTGCCAATGGATGAATAATAGCTCTTAAATGACACTGGGAGAACACTATTCTCTTCCAGGTAGTAGATAATAATACATTGCTAAAGAACAGAACTATTCATCTAATACTTTGTACACTTAATTGACTCTAAGCCTACTTTCATTTACTTAGAAATTTCACCTAAGTTATCTGAAATTGGAGGATTTTTTTTTTTTTTTTTGAAAACGACCTTCTTTCTGCCTGGAAGAAGTATCTCAGTTCCAGAATTACCACTTTGGTAAGCCCTATCATGAATTCTTCCTCCTTTCTTCTCACTGGATTTTCTGGCCTGGAGCAGCAATACCTCTGGATCTCCATTCCCTTCTCTGCCATCTATGCCATGGTGCTTTTGGGCAACTGCATGGTGCTGCACGTGATCCGAACAGAGTCCAGTCTGCACCAGCCCATGTTCTACTTCCTGGCCATGCTGGCCCTCACTGACCTGTGCATGGGGCTATCTACCATGTACACGGTGCTGGGCATCCTGTGGGGATTCGTTCGTGAGATCAGCCTGGATTCCTGCATTGCCCAGTCCTATTTTATCCATGGTCTTTCCTTCATGGAGTCCTCTGTCCTCCTTACTATGGCCTTTGATAGGTATGTTGCTATTTGCAATCCACTGCGTTATTCCTCCATTCTGACTAATTCCAGGATTTTCAGAATTGGACTCACCATAGTAGGTAGGAGTTTCTTTTTTATTACACCCCCCATCATCACTCTGAAATTTTTCCATTACTGCCGTTCCCACATCCTCTCTCACCCATTCTGCCTGCACCAAGATCTTCTCCGCCTAGCTTGCTCAGACATCAGATTCAATAGCTACTATGCCCTGATGCTGGTCATTTTCACACTGCTGTTGGATGCTATTCTGATCTTTTACTCCTATTTCCTGATACTTAAATCAGTCTTGGTAATTGCTTCTCAGGAGGGGCGGCATAAATCATTTCAGACTTGTGTCTCCCACATTTGTGCTGTTCTCGTGTTCTACATCCCTATCATTAGCCTGACAATGGTGCACCGTTTTGGCAAACATCTCTCCCCTGTGGTCCATGTACTTATGGGCAACATCTACATCCTTTTCCCACCTTTGATGAACCCCATCATCTACAGTGTCAAGACCCAGCAGATCCGTAGCAGAATGCTCAGACTCTTTTCTCTGAAAATACGTTGAGATGCTCAGGTCTTTAAAAGCACAAAACAGCAACAACAATAATTAACACACAAAATTCAATACCAAAAAATGAATTTTATTAGAATTAGAGATTTACCCCAGAGTCTATGATTCTTGATTTTAAAATAATTTTAAACATAAATGCAGAGAATCACCTACACACAAGTCCCATTTTAAGCCATGTTTTGGAAGTCAAATGTTCTTAGGGCTGGAGGTGGGAGACTCCATCTGAAACATTCCATACATTTTCTACCATCTGTTGATTGGTGTAAAACAAGCTATAGTATGTTCATGCCATAAGTATGATCATATTCAAGAAAGAATAAAACTAGTTACTGTGCCCCAAATGGATATTCAGGCACTTTCTTTGCATTGAAACAGAGCTAGATTCGAATCCTAGGTCTTCCAATTTCAAAGGTGGACATTTTGAAGTTTCTTTAATTCTGAGATTCAGTTAATTAATCTTTAAAATGAGGCAAGTGTCCACCTCACAGGGATGTTGTGATAACTAGATGGACCAGAATTGTACAGTAGAATTTTTCTAAAATAATGGAGATGTTTTCTACTATAGAATAATATAGACCAACTTATAACAGTAGCTTCATGTGGCTATTGAACACTTGAAATGTGAATAATATAACTGGGCGAATACCTTTTTGATTTGATTAATTGTAGTTAATTTAAATGGTAAAAGGACATTGTTTTGGACAATACAGTGGCTGCTTTATTGGACAGTGCAAATATAAAGAGGACATAAAATGGAATATGACTTTGGATTCCATTTTCACCATATCTACTTTATTTATTTTTTTAAAGATTTAGAAAAAAATTTTAAGTAATTTCTATACCTAACGTGGGGCTCGAACTTACAACCCCAACACCAAGAGTTGCATGTTCCACCAACTGAGCCATCCAGGCATCTGTCACATCTATCTTAAACTGGAATCTTCACTTGTTATATTTTATATTTAGATTCCTTTGCCACTGGGCTGGGCTTGGATTTTGCTCCAACTCATTTGCTTTTAAATCTAAAGAGGGGAATAATCTGAGCAGATGAAACTTTGTGCTTATAATTGATTCTGATTTTAAAACATATGTATATAAACATAAGTAGGTTCCCTCTGACATAGTATAGTTCAATTTTCAAAAGAAAGGAAGAAAGAAAGGAATAAGGTATCTGTATAGAGATGAAGAGAAAATCATTCGTTTAATATTATTATAATCTCTTATGTACCTAAGGAGGAAAGTGTTAGCTAACACTCAACAGATTAATGCACCAGAGTAATCTTACACCAAGGAAGCAAGTATTTCTTAACATTTTTAGATCTAAACCTAAACCTATGTATTAAAATTTTTCATGTCAAACTTGTGTTCTATGTTTCCCTCCTTTTTAGTGCTCCATTCAATTGAGTAGTCAGTGTAGAAGACAAAAATACAGGCTTTAGTTTCCAACCCCTTAAAAGTGGGGAAATACATAGTTCCTGGATGGAAAAAAGCACTTTGGAACATTCTAACTTCACAGGATCCGTGTGGCCCAATTTTAGCAGTTAGCTACTGCATCTGCAGAGGTCATGTCGTGTCTCACAGATCATCTTTGGGCACACATCACTCAGTGGCTAGACAAGCTTCTCTTCAATGTCTTGTGTTGTCTGCATCATCACCTCGGCTCAGCACTGACTCAGTTTGGGGGAAACAGGGGTCTCTGGAGCAGCAGGAAATATTCTGCCCTGCTAGGCATGCTGGGAGTACTGATGTGAATTTATATTGAGGTAACAGAATGGAGACATATGTCTAGCGCACCTGAGTCATTGGTTGGAGAATCATGTTTAATATGAAGAGTAGGAGGGTCCATTTGAGGACTCTGTATTCATCCAGAGACTCTGAGTATCTGTACCTCAGATTATGGCAATTTATAGGAAGATGAGCCAAAATAGTTGGAATCGATGGCTGTGGGCAATGGATGTGCAAATATCTGGTACACACTCAGAAATCACAGCTGGTTTTAGAACTCGGTAATTAAGCCCCTGTCTCTCTCTCTTTCTATCTCAAAAATAAATAAAGGCGAAAGAAAGAAAGAAAGAAAGAAAGAAAGAAAGAAAGAAAGAAAGAAAGAAAGAAAGAAGAAAGGAAGGAAGGAAGGAAGGAAGGAAGGAAGGAAGGAAGGAAGGAAGGAAAAAGAAAATTAACTGAGTGGAGCAGGGCTTATTCAGAGCAGAGAATAAAAATTAAAAAGAAACAAGTCTCCAATTAATACTTTTTACATTTATTGAGAGGGAGAGAGAGAAAGAGAGAGAGAGAGAATGACAGAGTGTGAGCAGGGGAGGGGCAGAGAGAAAGGGAGACACAGAATTTGAAGCAGGCTCCAGGCTCTGAGCTGTCAGCACAGAACCTGACATGAGGCTCAAACTCACGAGCCATGGGATCATGACCTGAGTCAAAGCTGGATTCTGTGTCTCCCTCTCTCTCTGACCCTTTCCTGCTCTCTCTCTCTCTTTCTCAGAAATAAATAAAACATTTAAAAAACACACACAAAAAAAACATACAAATCACAATAGGCATATTTTAAGATGCTCAATATCATTTGTCATTAAGGAATTGCAAAGTAAGACAATAAGATACCACTATCTATTAGAATGGGTAAAACCTGAAATACTGACAATACCAAATGCTGGTGAGGATCTAGAGTTATAGGGACACTCATTCATCACTGGTGAAAATACAAAATAGTACAGTCACTCTGGAAGAGAGTTTTGCATTTCTCACAGAACTAAACATAGTCTACTATGTGGTTGGCCTTGCACTCCTAGTTATGGTACCCAGTGGTTTAAAAACATGTCTACACAAAGACATGCATGTAAATATTTATAGCAGGTTTATTTTTAATTGCCAAAAGTTGGAAGCAACTAAGATAAATGGATAAACAAACTGTGACACCTCTTTAAAATGCAATGTTATTATTTGATTTAAAAAAAGAGAGAGTTATCAAGCAATGAAAAGACATGGAAAAACCTTTAATGCATATTTCTAAGTGAAAGAAGCCATCCTGAGAAGGTTGCATATTTATATGACTTCAGCTATATGACATTCTGGAAAAGGCAAAACTATAGAAATTAGAAAGAGCATAAAGATTGGTGTAGCCAGGAGCTGAGGAAGAGAGAGAGACGAATGGCTGGAGCACAGGGAATTGTTAGAGGAGTGAAAGTGTTCCGTATGATACTGTAATGGTGGGTATATGACATTATGTACGTGTATCCATCACTTTTTGAAAGTTCACGTTATGCCCCTCAGCTCTTTGGAAGACCCACGTAAGTATCTGTCTTCACTACTTGAAAGAAATCTGAAGAGTATTTTTACTTTTACAAAAAAAAGTGGAAAGCATTCAGCCTGTTTTGCATGGAGTCATTACAGAAGCAGCGAGAGCATCCCAGCCAAGCTCCTTCCCGGAGACCCACAATCAACATCACAGCATCAGACCCCCAGACTTTTGAACTGTGAGCATCTATGCTTTGTCCAAACTAATTTTGTGCATCTGTTAGCAAGACATGTCTGAAGGTGTCAAAAACCCTTAACATAGGTTATATTGGGGGTCTGGGAATGCTAAAATAATTTTCCATATGAATTAATGGTAATTGCTTCTTTGTTATATGCCATTTCAGCTCAGGAAAGGTTTCATACGAATGCTCTACTTTAAGATAGATCTGTACTATCAGAACCACAGAACTGTAACCGAGAAAGTGAATCTTAATGTAAACTATGGGCTTTGGTTCATAATAAGGCATCGATATTGGTTCAATTGTTTAAAAAGCAAACATGCAGTCATTATATTTTAATATCAAATGGGAGTAAAAGGGACAAACTAGTGGCTTCAAAAGGGAAATAAAGAAGTAAGAAACCGAACAGCAGATATCTGAAGGAATGGAAAGGGAATGGCATTACTGGTTACCACAGTAATAATAGGGATCTAGGAGACAGCATCAAATCCCTGCCAGATGTTGAGGAAAGCTACTGGGATCCTGATGAGAACGGTAGTTGCTTGTATCTCAGTATGTCTACACATTCCTTGCCCTCCCTCAACCTATAAAGAGCAGCAAGAAGAGCCAACATACCACCCATATCTTTATGTATAGGGAAATAAACAATCTCACACTTTCAGAGCCAGCCCCCAAGGCCACACCAGAAAAAGACTGTCTAGGGCAAGATGGTTGGGAGCAGTAATCTACTGTCAGTGAAAATACTGCAAATACCACACACCCAACACTACTCCATGATGTGAAATAGTGAGAACAGGTCTAAGGCCTTTTGAGTCAGACATCCCTCACAATGGGAATTAAAAGTAGTTGAAAGTGCATGCAAGTAAGCTTGATAGCACTCTTGAGCAAGTGTTGGTTTTGTGGGAGTGAAAACAAAATAGAAATGTGAGTGCATTAAAACTGACGAAAATCGAGTCAACCGCCTTATTCTTCAAGAATCCCCTCACTCTTCTATGTACAGCTGTTATAGATGTTCCTGGAAAACATGAGACATTTCCAATGAAGAGTTTCTGTAGAAAATAGGAAATAAAAATAAAAATGTTTCTACTGATAAATACTCTGTCTCCCCTGTGTGAACACACACACAACATTCATGGACACACTCACACACATGTGTGTCCTATAAAACCTACAATATATGGCTTCGATCTGAAGCTGTTGTCTTTAGAGATAATTTGTAGACATGGGAATAAAATAAGAAAATAAAAACAGAACAGAAATAGACAAGAAATAGATCATATGATATAAGAATTGTATCAAGTTAGGGTGCCTGGGTGGCTCAGTCAGTTAAGTGACTAACTCTTGATTTCATCTCAGGTAGTGATCTTGCTGTTAAGTGAGTTCAAAGCCCACAACAGGCTCTGTGCTGATAGCGCGAAGTTTGCTTAGGATTCTCTCTTCTTCCTCATTCTCTGGCCCTGCCCCGCTCATGCTTGCTCTCTCTCAAAAATTAATCAACTTTAAAAACAA